ACCAGCCCTCAGCATCACCCACTTCCACATTTCCCGTGGTGACCCTCCTCTTCTGTCCCATGAGGTCTCAGGCGCCATAAACCTCCTTCCCTCATCTTTAGCTGATTGTCCACTTTTCCTGGCAACACTTACCGCTCCATCGTCCCATCCCCCTCCTTCCCTGACCTCCTGGTGGTCACCATCTGTGTTAACCCATCTCCTGCCCTCCCCTCTTTCCCATTCTCCCGGGCAGGTGGGTGCTGAAAGGCTGGCCAAGTGAGTGAGGAGGGAAGCCCCCCACGTCCCGGTCCTATGGAGAATGGCTGGCCCCAGGGCAGCTCTCTGGCTTCTGAGTGGAGAGGGTGACATGCATCTAACACCTTGCCCAGTGCTGTCCTGTTCCTTGGGGGGCTTCCAGGGTGACCTGGCCTAATCCTGAGAGTGACCAGGGAGGAGGAACCACTGGGCAGCCTCTGGGGCTAGTCATCTGAACTGGATAAATGGGGTCAGGCCTGAGACTGTCTCCCAGGCATTCACTGTGTCAGGAGTTACATTTGATTAGACTTACTTGACAGCTGGTCGTGAATTTGAACCCTACTCCCCTGAGCCAACTGATCTTTAAGATCTGGGATCGCATATTATTAAAGAGCAGGGCTGCAATGAGATGTCCCCGGCCCCGATGAGGACAGAAATAACACAGATGAATGGAAAGGAACAGATGTGTGAAGGAAGCTAGAAGTTACTGTGGTCACTGAACAAGGAGCTGTGGTGGGGGCCATCCATCCCCTCTCCACTGGAGACAGGGCACTGTCGCCGGGTGACTTTGAGGGTCAAACGTTTGAAGCAGTGCTTAGGAAACTGCCAATCACCCTTCCAATGTACGGGTTTCTTTTGTTGTCACAGTTTAGCTATGAGCTTGTACATCTACCTCTGGGCACAGGGACCTACCAGCATAATTTGACTAAATCTGACTGACAGGTAGGAAAAGTTCTGCCTTTAGTTCTCAGTGCTGTTTGTGATTTCATGGGGAGGGTCCGAAGCTGGGGTTCACGGTACCAGGATCTTTCACTGTTTTTGTTTCCATCTCAGCCTTAGGGAGGGCTCCCAGCTGGCACTGCAGAGAATGAAGCTTCCCAGAGGAGGGGGTAAGCTGGGTGTCCGGGGAAGAGGTGTCCTCGTAGTCTGCCCTGTTTTCTCTGTCTGCATTTTGATTGACTTAAACTTCAGTGAGGAGGATGGCTGATGAGAACTAACACTTAATAGGTGCTTGTTAAATTTTTACCATGTCACTCTTAGAACATTTAAGAAAAACCTTTCCTCCTGGGAGACTGAGTTTAAAAGTTCCAGTTAGGGGTTTAGCTCAGTGGTGGGGGAAATCCTTTGAGTAAAACTGCTTGTTATCCCACACATGATAGTTTCACACTGAATTTTAGAAATTCTGGGGTTCTGTTTGGGAGATGGCTTGCAAACAAAACACCTTTTATCCAGATTTTCTTCCTTCTTCCTAAAGAGGAAACAGCTGCCAGTTTATGGCATCACTAGGAGAGAAACAGGGGACTGGAGGGGTTTCTTAACACCCAGCGTGTCACAGCCTTTCTCTGTTCTCCTGAATCTGAGAAGAAATTGAGAATGCGCAAGGAAAATAAAATCTCGCTTCTAACCTCCCCACTCTTGTATTTTTCCTAGAAACATAAAAAATTATCATGAATATTCAGCATGTGTGTTTCTGACTTACTAAACATTATAGTCAAGTGATTCTTTATTCAGCTGCAACTGGGAAGAAGCAAGTAGGCAGTTAATGAGCACCTAAGGTTTTCCATTCATTTTTAGCTTAGCAAGTCTGGGACAAAAAAAATCACTCAAAATATAAGGCCACAGGAATGTCCAGGGTTTATGTTTAGCTGTTGGAATTCTGCGTCTTGAGCTACCATGCCCCACCTTTGGTCTGCTTGCTAATCATCCCGGCAATTACCTGCATATATCGAGTGCTCACCATGGAATAAACACAAGTGCTTTACACCCATCATTCATCTTCGTCCTTGGAGATGGACATTAATCCCATTTAATGGATGAGGAAACTGAGACTAGGGAAATGACCTGTTCAGAGTTGGGATTAATACTGGCTCTGGCCCATCTCCAGCTTGGACTGTTAACCTCTCTGCTGCACTGCAAGAATGTTCGGCCAAATTTAGTCCCTGGGGGAAAAGGAAGATACAGTGTTCCCATATTTTTGGTTGCCTTCCCATATTCCTGAGAGAGAGGGGAGAGGATGACATGAGTGTTCTGAATTGTGCATTGAGTTGAGGCAATGTATTAGGCTCATAGGGCAGAGACCTGGCTGCTCTCAGCAGATGAAAAGCAGCAGATGCACAAAGGGCGTCCGAGAACTCTGGGAAACACTACTGGAGTTTTACAGACTTAGCATGACAGTGGGCTCTGGGCACACCTCTAGGTTAGATAAGGGCCAAGCACTTCTGGCTGTTTTAGAGATGCTGTCGGTTGTGGAAAACTGAGTCAAAGGCCTGGAAGCACTTTTATTTCTATTCTACCCCATCATTCACTTTCACAAATCCCTGGGTCAGGCCAATAGGTAGTCTTCAGGTGGACAGACAGAAATTGCTGTGTGTCTGCCACAGATGTGGCCCCAGCATACCCACTTCCTTTCCAGCTTGGTATTAGCCCAGTTCCTGTCAGAGGGCAAAAAAGATGGCGTAAGAATGATGGAATGCTGGAAAGAGAAAGGAAAATGGAGGACATGCAGTTTTAAATCCCTTTGCCATCTATAAGCTGCTTTTGAATCCATATTTCTGTTTAATAAAAGTGCAGAGATTAAAGGAATATAAACATTAAATACTGTGGGTTACAATGAGAAAAAAAAACTGACTATGAAATAGTACAGCAAAATGGATAGACATTGGCTTTGATGTCAGATGAGGTTTGTGTCCCTGTGCTGGCTTGTGTGATGCTGGTAAGTTACAGGACTTCTTTGAGCCTCAGTTTCTTCATCTGTATAATGGGGATAATAGCATGTCTTGTGGATGGCACAAAGTAGATGGGACTGCTGTAATTATCAGACAGTACCTGTTGCAAATTAAACACCACTGGCATTTTGGGAAATGGGGATCGTGGCGGAATGGGGAGAGAATGCCCAAGATTGCAAAGTATGTCCTCTCCCAATAAGGACCTTGCAGAATGATCAGTCAAGGACTTTTCCAAGTGTAAAATGTATACCTTTTTTTCATCCTAGGTTTGGACTTCCTTAAAAACCTTTCATAGTAGCCAGCGTTGTTTGCTAATGTGGCAAAAACCAGCTCCTTCTACCCCACTGCGATGACTTGCCAGGAGTGAGTGGTGGGCACTGCCGGCCTGGTGGCTCATCTATGCCCCCCCGGTGGGACCTGAGGATCGGCAGCAGCCATGCCTCCCCCTGCCCCAGCTGCCCCGTACCCTGTGCGCTAGCCTGCATGGTGTGGGTGCCCTTGGGATTCCCGCGGACTGACTGACCTTGCTTCACGCCCCAGTACCGCCTCCCCCAAAATGTCGCTTGAGTGGCTCGTGGCCTGGAGCTGGTCGCTGGATGGCCTGAGGGACTGCATCGCCACCGGCATCCAGTCGGTGCGGGACTGCGACACCATGGCCGTGGTCACCGTGGCCTGCTTGCTGGTCCTGTTTGTGTGGTACTGTTATCATGTGGGCCGGGAGCAGCCACGGCCCTACGTCTCGGTCAACTCTCTCATGCAGGCCTCTGATGCCGCCGGGCTGCAGAACGGCTTCGTGTACTGCCAGTCCCCCGAGTGCGTGCGCTGCGCCCACAACGAGGGCCTCAACCAGAAGCTCTACCACAACCTGCAGGAGTACGCCAAGCGGTACTCCTGGTCGGGCATGGGCCGCATCCACAAGGGCATCCGCGAGCAGGGCCGCTACCTCAACAGCCGGCCCTCCATCCAGAAGCCCGAGGTCTTCTTCCTGCCCGACCTCCCCACCACGCCCTACTTCTCCCGGGACGCGCAGAAACATGATGTAGAACTGCTGGAGCGCAACTTCCAGACTGTTCTGTGCGAGTTTGAGGCCCTCTACAAAGCTTTCTCGAACTGCAGCCTCCCACAAGGATGGAAAATGAACAGCACGCCCAGCGGGGAATGGTTCACCTTTTACTTGGTCAATCAGGGGGTTTGTGTTCCCAGGAACTGCAGGAAGTGCCCACGGACGTACCGCTTGCTTGGAAGCCTTCGGACCTGTATTGGGAACAATGTTTTTGGGAACGCGTGCATCTCTGTGCTGAGCCCCGGGACCATGATCACGGAGCACTATGGGCCCACCAACATCCGCATCCGCTGCCACCTAGGTAGGTTGCAGGCATGGGTCTCCCAGCATGCGTGTGTGCCAGTGCGGTCCCTCTGCCTTGTGGGAATGGGACGTTGCAAGAGCTCACCTAGCCTGAGGTGGGTCCCACGCTCCTCCCCGCCTTTTCTGAAGAGTTGATGAGCCCCCTGTGAGCTGTCAGTAACAGCACAGGCTGAGCCAGAAAGAAACCTAATTTCTGACAGACGTTCTGTCCAGAACAACCCTCTGTCGTGATGGAAAGATTGTTCAGGAATGTTCATGATCCAAAATGGTGGCTGCTAGCCACAGGCAAGTATCGAGTGCTTAAAATGTGGCTCTGGCAACTGAGGAACTAAGTTTTTCATTCATTTAATTATTGTTATTATTTTTGAGTTGCAGTCTCTCTCTGTTGCCCAGGCTGGAGTGCAGTGGCACGCTCACAGCCACTGCAACCTCGACCGGCTAGGCTCCGGCAGTCCTTCTGCTTCAGCCTTCCAAGTAGCCAGAACTACAGGCACTTGCCACCATGCCTGGCTAATGTTTGATTTGTTGTAGCGATGAGGTCTTGCCAAGTTGCCTAGGCTGGTCTCGAACCCGTGGGTTCAGGCAACCCTTTTACCTCGGCCTCCCAAAGTGCTGGGATTATAGGTGTGAGCCACCACGCTTGGCTTCGTTTAATTCAAATTTCAGTAGCCACATATACTGACCAGCACAGCTGGAAGCCAAAGGCTGTTACAGTAATTCCTGAGGTTCACAGTGACTCTCAGGAGGTTGTGAAAGATACGTTGTGTCTTTGGAATCAGCAAGGGTGAAGCCATCCTTGATATTACATGTATTTTATTCAGATTCTAAGGAAATTGGTAGGATGTGTACTGTGTATGGCAGGGTTTTGCAAACAGCGTCCAGAGTTAGACTGCCTTTGTGTGCACCCTGTCCCCACCCTGAGCTGTGTTACTTTGGGCAAGTTACTTCGCCTGTCTGACCTCAGTTTCCTTATCTGGGAGGCGGAGGTAAAAAGATCATCCCTCCGAGTTATTTTGAGGATCCAGTCAGATAACATGCATTGCAGAGCCTGATACAGAGGGAGTACTCTATAAAGGGAGGCTTAGAAACAACGTGGCAACAGAGGCACTAGTTCCCAGAATGCCTCGATCCTCGTGAGGGCTGGTGGCATCCCCGGTGAGCATCCCGGGCTAGAGTGTGCTGAGGTAGCCTCAGCGGCAGCAGCTTCAAAAAGGAACAAGGGGGGGCAGAAAGAGGGGTTTGGTGTATAGGCTGGAGCAGGCTTGCATTGTCAGGGCCGGCTCTTAGGGCCGAGCTGGAGGCGCCAGGCCTGCCTCCCTGCTTCACCCACAGCAGCAGCTCTGCTTCTCCTGGGTGGGGATTCTGAGTAAGAAGTGGTTTGAACAGAGGACTTCACTGCTTGAAAGGAGAAGAGATAACTAGATCAGAGCAACTGACATGGTTGGTGTTTCAAGACTAGAGGCCGGACAGGGTAGAGGCTCTGGGAGAGGTAGCCTAAATTGGTAGTCAGCTGTAAGAATTTGGACAAGTAACTGGGTCTCTCCATGCCTCAGTTCTTCATCTGTAAAATGGGGAGATAGTATTTCCTTCACAGAGTGTTGAGAGGATTCAATAAGTCGCATCTTACATGGCCACTTGGCACAGTGCCTGGCATGTGTGGCATTTGGTAAATGGCAACTGGTAGCTACTATGATCAAATGCTATGTTGGACTATGTGAACAAAATCCATAAAACATGGTCTCATTCCTCAGGTAACTGGAAAATGAACAGGCTTTGGAAGCAAACAGCCTGGACTCGGGTCCTGGCTTCACCCCATTTACTGGGTGACCTTGGGCGGGCCTCACAACTCTTTGAGCCTCCATTTTTTCCTCTCTAAAGCAGAGGTAATGACACCTGCCTCTAGGGCTGTTTGGAGGAACAGAAGTCTTAAGTGTCAGGTGCATGGCAGGCCGGGCCGAGAATTCCTCTCAGTGGTGAGAGAGAGTCCACCTGATGGCCATGATCAGTGAGGCCGCCGTGCAGGGCCCCAAGCACACTCGGAGACCAGAAGCCACAAGGGCTGCAGACAGGGTGCTCTGGGACAATGGGTCTGACCCTGGAGGATTGACTTGCACTGCCACGGTGGAGCACAGGAGAGCAGTCTTCCCCTGGGAGTTGGGGGAGACCAGTGGTGTGGGCTGAGGTTGGACAGGTCGGTGGGAGCGGACACCAGTGGGCATGGAGGCCGTGGCAAAGGGGAAGGCTGCTTTTCTTTTGAAAGTTTTCCCTTCCTCATTGTTTTTAAAGCTTCAGAATGACACATGGGGAAGGGCATTTGAGGACTGATGTGTAGAGCCCAGAGCAGGTGTGTTGAGTAGGAAGGGCTGGTGACAGGAAAGGTGTGGGGTCTGCCTCCTGTGGGCTGTGTCTGTCGCGTGCATCAGCACCATACCCCATGCGTGTGGGTGAGCGGATCACGCCCACATGGGCCCTTGCTGTGGCCTGTCATTCTTTTTTCAGCCTTACCAGGTACTTGACAGAAAAAGTGGACCCTCCGTGTTCCCGTGGATGGCAGGAAACCTTCTTGGATGACATCCCACTGCAGTGTGGTTGTTCTCCACAGCTCAGGCGAGCTCCCTGGCTGGGTTTCCTCAGCATTTCCCTCTTTACACTGCCATGCCCACATTAATAGCCACCCAGGAAGGAAACAAAGTGTTGGAGTCACATGACCTTGTATGTTGACAGAGAGGGCGTCTAGAAAATGGGGTCAGAAGCAGGATAAGCCTAGTAGGTCCCAGTAGCCACGCCTCTGCCGCCTACCTGGCTGAAGGTGGAGGTGCCTACAGTTTTGGAACTGTGTCCTGAGAAGCCGCCCGGTGTCCTCTTTGTCTGCCTTCTGTCTGAGCTGGGACTAAGGCAGTTGGCCCTGTGGACCACTGACGCTCCAGCCACTCTCCTTGTTTGCACAACCCATCTGTTTGGAACACATTTGTTGAGCCCTGCCGTGAGCTGCCTTTGGAGGTGGCATTACCTGGGACCCGGGATGGCGGGACAGCTCCGGGCCCACCCATCAGGCAGCGTCTTGTATGGGGCTGGGATGTTTCAGCTGCACTGTTGCAAACTCCCAGCAAACATCACATGAAAATGCAGGAGTGTGTCCAGCCAATTCTGGCTACATAAGCACAGCTGAACTCTTGTTCTTCTGTGCATGTGTCATCAGATTTCCAGGGGCCCAGCTGGGTGGTGTCAGTGGATCATCGTGTTCACCTTGCCCACTCTGTGTGCTGGGCACCAGCTACCTGGCATGGAGGCCGCTGGTAGACAGGGCTCTTTCTCCATCCTCCTTCCTCTGGGGGTTGATGGGGACAGAGCTGCCAGCCCTGAGCCATAGAGGAGGCTGGCCCTTGTGGGACTGTCCAAGGCCAGGAGCGGGGCCTGACTCTTTCCCCAAGAGCTACTTGAGTGCTCCGTTTGGGAAGTATTGATCATTTCTGCCAGCTAAGCTGGTTAGTGGGCAACAGGCAGGAATGGGGGACCACTGGAAGCCTGGAGCGGATGAAGTGAGCAGCAGAGGACAGGAAGCAGCAGGGTGTCAAGCTGGCAGTCAAGGTCGCTTTTCAATTGCACCATGGCGTGTGGCAGTGAGTCATTTAGTGACCCAGAGAAAGGGGAGCCGCTTTGTGAAACCCTTGGGATGGCTGTCCCTGCGGAGAATTCCCTATTCCTAAAGACCTTCTCCACCAGAACCAGCTAGCAAGGGCGCACACCAAAGGCAGACATGGCCTAGGGCGCCCTCCACCTGGGCTGGCCTCACAACCCAACTCTCAAGCTGTTGTTGGCCATAGCGGGAAGTCTGGGTTCCAGTCGGGCTGGACAGTCTCAGCTGATCTGATGAAATGTACTACTGAGAGTTGAAGCTTATTAACTCCAAGACAGGCAGCAGTCACTCTAATACCATTGCTAATACCGTAATAACCAGCATTTGTATCACAGCGTCCAGTTTTACGAGAGCCTGCTTTTTAGAGCCAGACAGCCTCAGCTTAGCGAGTAACTTTTCACCAGAGCACGTAACTTCTCAGTCGCTCTGTCTGGAAAGTGGGTGACACGATGTCTGTAAAGTGTTTATTTACCACAAACCTGAGGAGGAAGACACAGTGAGTCTTCAGTTCTTGGTAACAAGGACAAAGGTTGCATAGCAGCCCTGGAAGGTTCATGTAAATGACCCCTCTTTACAGATGAGGAGGGGATGGCTCAGAGAGGCTGAGTGACTTGCCCAGAGTCACACAGTACATAAGGGTCAGAGCCAGTGTCTATCCCCAGGTCCACTGTCCTTCCTTCTCCTCCATGTGCCCTCTTCATTTGAATTATGACTCTGTCCGTGCTTCCTGGAGGCATTATTTCTGGGTGAAAGAGTGCATTAAAATACTCTGACTGCTGGAGAGAAAGCTGCTTCGTTTTTGTCATAAAGGATATTAAATCAGAGGGGAAATGCCAGCTAGCCCAGGGTCATTGTCACAGTGAGTCACTGAACACAGACGAGACCACCACTGTCCCCAACCCTCTTCCAGGGCTCCACTGCCCCTGGGTCATTCTTCTGAGAGCTATCAGGTTACTCTGACCCCTTCTTCAGTCATTAGACGGCGGCAGTGGCACCTCTGTGTACAGAACACTGAGGAGTGATGGGGGTCAAGTGTTTCTGTAGACCGTTGGATTGCAAGTGGGGCACAGGGGTACACACATGCCGTGCACGGGGCACGGGGCATGGAGGCCCACCCTCCTGGATGACACTACCCAGCCGGGGCCTCACTACCGCAGTTCGAGCCTGTCGCTCCTTACAAAGGTGTCGACCTGTTTCCTCTTGAAGCGCAGGCATTTCCCTTAGTGGCATCCTCCAGTTCCTGAGAATGAGAACTTAGACTAAGACCATGCAAACCTCCGGCCTCAAAATGAACTTACAGGGAGAGGAAAACACTCTGAGCCTTTGCACTTTTACTTGCAAAGAAAGTAGCCCCAGAGGCCTGTCTATAGTAAACACAGTTACTGGGCAGTGCAGGGTTCTAAACCTAGCCTCCCTCGATTTCTAGGGGTCCCATAGTTGGGCTTCAGGAATCTCAAAAGGGCAATGCAGGCCTTGGTCTGTGGCTTTAATCAGAGGACTCCATGACCTAGAATAGATGAAGCCAATGAAGGACTGAGCTTTCGCCAAGCGCACAGTGAGGATCTAAGTGGTGGCTTAGATAAACAGCAGACGTGTTGCTCACAGTACTGAGGCAGGAAGTCCAAGATCAAGGCACCAACAGACTCGGGGTGTGGCGAGGGTCCACTTCTGGTTCACAAATGGTGCCTCCTCACTGTGCCTCTCCTGATTGAAGGAGGTGAATGAGCACCCTTGGGCCTGTTTCCTAAGGGCCCTGATCCCATTCGTGAGGGCTGGGCCTTTATGCCCTGGTCACCTCCCAAAGGCCCACCTCCTAACAACATCAACCTGGGTCTAGGTTTCAACGCATGAACTTCGTGGGGACACAGACATTCAGAGCATAGCACGGGCCCTGGGAACGTGAGGCAGAAGGTCGGGTGCCTTGAAAGTTGAAAGCTCCCACCAAAGCAGACCACTCCTTGCCTCCTGGCCTTCCCTAAATCTGCCTGCCTTCACGCTTTCTCTCTTCTTTCCACGAGGTCTGAAAACCCCAAATGGCTGTGAGCTGGTGGTGGGGGGAGAGCCTCAGTGCTGGGCGGAAGGGCGCTGTCTGCTCTTTGATGACTCTTTCCTGCACACCGCGTTCCATGAAGGTGAGTGATCGCTTTCCCACGTGATTTTTTTTGTACTTTATTTTTTAGAGTAGTTTTATTAATAGGCTTCTAGAAGAATTGAGAAGTAGAAAGCAGGCCTCTTATGTCACCCGCCCCCACTATACACAATGTCCCCTCTTGGTTACAACTGATGAGCCGATATTGACACGTGATTATCACCTAAGCTCCGGAGTTTGCATTAGGGGTCATTCTTGGCATTGCACATCCTGTGGGTTTTGACAGATGTCTGATGCCCCTTACCCACCATGACAGTGTCATGTAGAGTTGTGTCCCTGCTTTGTCAATTCTCTGTGCTCTGACTAGCCATCCCTACCTCCAGCTCCTGTCTGCTCTTGTCCATCTGCTCAGACCCTCATGCAGCTGCGCTTACATTCGTGATAGAAGGAGGACTTCTGGTTCCAGTCAAGGGGCAGGATGCCCTAGTGGTGCCTGTGTAGTCCAGCTTTGCGGGGTCCTTGTTCCGGGGTAGACTGAGCCCCTCCTGTTGCCCTCCCTCCCCCCAGGTTCAGCAGAGGACGGCCCTCGGGTGGTTTTCATGGTGGATCTGTGGCATCCGAACGTTGCAGCGGCTGAGCGGCAGGCACTCGATTTCATCTTTGCTCCAGGACGATGAGAGAACTTAGACTGCTGGAGCCGGCGAGAGAAGCCGAGGCAAGCCTGGGCGGACTGCAGCACAGTCCAGCCCCGCCATGCTGCGATTCCACACTCAGAAACCTGCCTCCACAGAGAGCTCTCATTGGGGATTTTGTACCATGTTGAGTCCCTCTTTCCTTTGGTTATTGTAAATGGACACTTTTCAGCTTGTATTTCCTTAGGTTTTTTTTCCTCCCCATCATTTGCTTCTGAGATTCCTTTCTGGCCTAATAGTGCATTCGTTTGACTCTGTGACCAGAGACTTGGTGCCCTTGTAAGTCTGTGTTATGTTGCTACTCTGTTTTTTCAGTGCTCTGAAAGAGAGTAACTGAATGGTTATTTGTCTGAATGTAAAAATGCAAAACTTCTTGTGGTCATCTTGAAAGAAGAAAACAAAACTAAACTGGAAACTGCAAATCAGAGAGCAGGAGACCTTGGCCTCTGATGCTGGCACACAAGGGACCCTTCAGCCACCACAGGGCAGGGCTGGAGAGGCTGCCAGACATGATGGGGTGGTGCACAGCGTCCAGGCCAGGGAACCTGTCACCATCGCTCACCCTCACCCATCAGGTCCCTGATGACAAAAGCCTTCGGCTGGTAGGGCGAGGCTGTTCTTGAAACACCACTTTCCTACAGAGCTGAAAGACAGCCACACTGCGGCTCACCCGGGTCAGCCCTAGAACGTGGGATCCACTTACCTCACTGCCTACAGAAGCCCTACTGCCAAACCAGGCTGGAAGATTGCCAGTGCAGCGGTTTTGAGTCCGAGGTGGTGAACGTTAAGACCACGTAGGCTGGCTGGCAGGAGCGCTGGCGGGATGAGTCCTCACTCCTCCGGTGACATTCTGAAAAAGCCTTTCTCTGGCGGACCTGGAATCATAGATCTGGCCAAAGTGTCTGTTTTGCTTTGGAGTTCTGCTGCCTATGTTTTTTTTCATTTATTTGTCTATATGTAAAAGTTCAAACACTAGACTCAGAGCTAGTGAGAGTCGGCCCTGAGTTTCTGTCACTGCACAAAGATGTGCACTGAGTGACAGTGAGCCGAGTCAGGGTGTCAGTGAGGACACAGGGAGGACCTACAAACCCGAAGGACCCATGGTCACTGTGCTGGCTTTCTGGCCTCCTGTGAAGAACATGCAGCTCTCTTCCCAGAGGAGACGGCACCAGGAGGTCAGCTTGAGGCCTCAGTCTGGAAACAGCCTGTGTGCACAGATGTGTGAATATGCTGCTGGCCAGTCATACTAAGAGAGCCTTTTTGAATAATGCATTATGGACAGTGTCCGATGTATAAGGCCAGGGTGTGGTCTGGAATATACAGCCGGTCACAGGTCAGGTTCAGTGTTTAGATTGGAATGGAAACCAGCAGCTTCTGTGAGGTACAGCTGTCCAAAGTAAACACAATGCAAAATGCGCTAGGTAATCACTAGCAAGTGTGCACAGAGAACATGTCTACGTTGGAGTAAAATGTCTACACAGATATTTAATGTCAGTGATGAGAATGCAGGAAGAGGCAGAAATTGAAACATACCTGAAGTCTTTGTACTCATTGCCTTGTTACAGAATCACTTGAGGTGCATGATTTCTACATCCTGACTGCCCTACGTTTACAAAGCCAACAGCCCACACAGGTAGCACAATGGCCACCTGTGCTCATGTGACATGGTTGGGGAACAGAAGATAAATAAAGGATCTTGCTGAAAACCAGAGTGACGTGCTGCAGTCGTCTGTCAAGATGTGCTGGGCAGAAGCCCTGAGGGGCACGTGTGTGACTCCGGGGTCCTTGTGCTGAGTCATGTCACAGTGATAGGCGGGACACTAAAACTGATCATGGGTAGTGAATGAAGCAAAGTGTATTTGTAAAACAATGGGTGTGGGTGGGGACATGAGACATCCGCAGTACATTGAGGAACTGTAGGTGTCACGCAGGGTGACAGGCAAGGACTCGGCTTCGGGAAGGCTGAGGATCCAGCACTAGGAATTTGCCGCCTTGTGACCTGGGGCGAGTTCTGATGCCTCTGGTGGCCTCAATCTGCCCCTCTGTAGAGACAGGCCCTAGCCTACCAAGGGCACTCGCCAGCAACGTGGGCTCCCTTTCCGCTTTAGAGAACCAGGTGGAGAGGCAGGAGGGCGTAAGGAAGAGGTGGGTGGTCACCTCAGGCCAGCAGATGTGGCCATGGGGCCAGCGGTTTCTTTCCATTGCCTGTGTCTTATCACAGGGAAGAGCATGCCCCTCAGCAGCTACACGTTTAACTTCTTCCTCTGGTCCTAGGAGAGGGAGAAGGGACTCTGGAGGCCAGCAGCAACTTGGGTTTGCACACAGGGCTTGTCCCACCTCACTGTCACACGACGGAAGGGAAGTGCCTCTCGTCTGGGGCCTCGGTTTCTCACCCTCCTGAGTGTGCACTGCCAGCTGGACAACTGCTAAACTAATTTACATGCTGTAGCTAGGGACGCTCAAGGTGAGAAAGGGGAGCCAGCCGGGCTCAGCTGCAAGCAGAATCTCCTTCCGCCGAGACAGCCTGGATTTGCTTCCAGCTGCCCTCACACCGTGCAGACAAGGCCAGGCCAGCTCCTCTCTGCACAGGGTCACACCCCAGCTCTCCTGATCCCGACCCTCCTCCCACACACCTCATCACCAAAGAGTCACCTGGATTTTCTGGCAACCCAACTTGTAACGCTGAGGGCTGTACCATAGGGGGGGAGGAAGAGGACCTCTGATCCTCTGGTTCTTGACTTGGTGGCACAGCACGATCACCTGGGAGCTTTTGAGAAGTACTAAAGCCCACGTACCATCCCCAAGCATCTCATTTCTTTGTTCTGGGAGTGGGGCCCAGGCATGGGTATTTTTCAAGCTCGTTTCCTGTCGTGATTCTGATGTGCAGCTGGGGCTGTGGCCGCTGCTCTGAGCAGCAGGAGTGAGGAGGTCCGTGGAGCCAGCCGGCTGGACAGTAGCATGTGGGCCATGCCCCTGTGTGACACAGGGCAGGCCACCTACCCTGGGTCTCAAGAGGACAGCCATTGTCAACCCTTGCTGGTCAACAGTACCCTGATGAGCCCCTTGCAAGATCATCACATTCCCGTGCTCAGTCCTGGGGTCTCCGGGACCTGACCCAGTCTCGGCTGCAGGGCTGAGCCAGTGAGCCAGACCACACCAGTCAGAGCCTTCCAAACTCCTGGACACTCAGAGACTGGGTCAGCACTGGGCACATGATCCGAGTTCTTCTGTTGGGACCACTGAAAAAGGCCCCTTTTCATGGGGTGGGGTGGGGTCTAGTGGAAGGAAAACCTAAGTGTAACCCACAGAGGCAAGGGGGCCACCTTGTGGAGACCATGTGAGCCCTGAACACAGCCCTGCCTGAAACCATCCCTACCTCTGGACTTTTCATCACAAAAATCAATAAACTCCCTTTTATTCTTAAGCTAAGTGTGAGTTGTTGTTTCTATCCCTTGCCACCAAAAAGTCCTAATCCACCCCGTGTGCTTTGAGTGAGGTATAGATGCAATACTGTTGTGTCAAGTTCTGGGTGGACAAGAGGTGTTACATACACAGTTTTTTTTTATTTTTTAAATGAAAATATGGGCCAGACACGGTGGCTCATGCCTGTAATCCCAGCACTTTGGGAGGCTGAGGTGGAAGAATCACTTGAGCCCAGGAGTTTGAGACCAGCCTGGACAACTTAGCGAGACTTTGTCTCTACCAAAAAAAAAAATGAGCTGGGTGTGTTGGCGCATGCTTGTAGTCCAAGCTACTCAGGAGGCTGAGGTGGGAGGATCACCTGAGTCTAGGAGATCAAGGCTGCAGTGAGCCATGATCATGCCACTGCACTCCAGCCAGGGCCACAGAGTGAGATCCTGACTCAAAAAAATAAAAATGAAAGTGTAAATGTGAGTAGCAAAGGTTAAGCAGAAGTGCTGTTGTGAGGCCCATCGTGCCTGCTGCCTTCCATAACATTTACCTCCCCAGCTGAATCTTGCTAACCAGATGTAAACACAGGGAACAGGACAGAATAAGGCCACATATTTTAGAGCTGCTGACAGATGGCAGAGAAAATACTCAAGCAGATTGTAGCATTAGGAGCCAGGAGGCAGCACACACGGGGACTGATTTACTTTCCGCCTCCTTCCCAGGCATGCACGTTGGTTCTAACTTGTTGGTACCTGCCCTTCCCACGCCACCCCTCTTCCATGCATTAGCCACCCCCAAGTTCAAGGTGAGGGTGCTTGCTGCTTTGAGCACAGAGTACTCTGCAGCCGAGGAGGTTCCTTCCCACACATCACACTGGGGAAAGCAGGGATGGGGACAGTTATGTGCACAAAACACATGAGAAGGCTCAGTGGGAGCAGGCAGTGGACATGAGCAAGGTCATGTGGTCAGTTGAAGGGTGGGCTGGCATGGGAAGCCAGGAATCCAGGTGTCTTCTGTGGTCTGGACACACATTCAGGCCATGCTCTCCCTGGCATGTGGAGGGACCCCCTGGGGCAGCCAGTTGCTCAGGACACACAGTATGGAACTCTGTTTGCTGAGGGCTCACCATAGACTGAGCCCTTATGTACATTTTCTTCTTCTCTCCATTTTAAAGGAGAGGCCACTGAGGTTTAGAGAAATGAAGTGACATGCCCCACTTCCCACAGCAATATGCTGCAGAGCTGTGATCCGAACCCAGCTCTGACACCAGAGCCACATGCTCCAGCCGTGGCTGCAGGAACCAGCTCGGCCTGGGTCGTAGGGAGGATGCACACAGCGCCTTCACAGCAGCACCCACGGGAGCTGGCCTGCCTCACCCTCCTCTGCCCACAGGCCCTGCTGGGCTCAGTGGCCAGGTTCCCAGGCCCTTTCTTTCCCTGGGGCGCTTGGCTCATCTGGTGGAAGGCAGGGCAGGGGTGAGGGCTGCCGCTCAACTTCGATGCTAGCCTGCACAGGCAGTCAGAAAACAGCCTCTGGGCTTATGACAGGGCTCACAAAGCACCCTGGGCTTTATTCTCGGAAGTACAGCTGAGGTTTAGACCTTGGGATCCCAAACAAAGAGAGGTGTCCTTTTCCCCTTGAAGCCCTCTGAACATTCACCTTTAGCTTCCCAAACTCAGTGAATCTGTTTCTAAGAAAAAGATCTCGAGTATGTTTTATTCCTAAGCTGGGAGGCCGAGCATGGTCTCACATCCTGCCCTCCCTGGGATCCTCAGAAGGGCCCAGTGGCAGGCAGAATCGAGAAGCTCAGCAGGGGACTGGTGCTGTGCCCTCCTGCTGCCTCTTCTGGGGAGCAGCACTGGTTTGAGGGCTGGGGACAGGTATAGCGTGTGTGTTCGCGTAGGGCGGTGATGCACGCGATCTTCACACGGTCAGGCCCAGCGTGGGCTCCCGCTTGCTCTTGCGAGGGCTCCTTCAGGGTGGGGATCCCCAGCTGCCTTCTCCACATGAAGGCAGCATCTGTCCCAAAGCAGGCATGGCCCTCTCACCACCCCAACCTCACCCATGCCCAAGTCTCCTGAGGACTCGTTCCTCACATCTGTCCACGGCCCCGCCTCCTTCCTGCCACAAGCCACTCCCCCTCCCATCTAGACGGCCACGCCATCTAGTGCTGTCCACTCCTGCCCCCACTCAGGAACTGGGACCTTCCCAATGAGAACCAGCTCCAGTCACTCCCCTGCTTAAAGGCTCCCCTCTGCCCTGGCTACTCCACAGTGCCCTGAGCAGGAGCTTGGAATCACAAGGACACACCTCAAGTGTGCGGGTGAATGGGATCCTTTCCTGTGGCTGCTGTGACAAATGACCACATGCTTGGTGGCTTAAAACAACAGAAATGTATCATCTCAGAGTTCTGGAGGCCAGAAGTCCAAAATCAGTCTCACAGGACTCAATTCAATGTGTTGACAGAGTCCCACTCTCTCCGCAGGCACCAGACAGCACCCGTCCCTTCTTGCCTTCCCTGGCGTCTGGTGGCTGCCGCAGTTCCTTGACAGTGACTGCATCCCTCCAGCCTTTGCCTCCATCTTCCCGTGGCTTCTCCCGAGTAACCTCTCTCTGCCCCTATCTTATAAGCACACCTGTGATGGCGTGTAGGGCCCACTTGGATAATCTGGGATTATCTCTCCATCTCAAGATCCTTCTCTCCATCATACCTGCAAAAACTGTATCACACAAGGTAACATCCACAGGTTCTAGGGATGGGGACCTGCTATCTTTGGGGTCCTGCAGGCCTGTGGCCTGTTACAAGGAGGCTCGTACCAGAGAAGGCCTGGTTACGACGAACCTACTCCTGGCAGGACGGGGTGTCAGGAACGCAGTAACTGGAGGGTATGGGAAGAGCATCTTAGCCACACTGGAAAGGACCTTCAATATGATTAAATATGCAAGACAGACACCAGGAGGGTGACATCAACAAAGACCCCGTCTCCACCTACTACCACAGTTGCTGTCCTTGTCCCTGTGGAGGTGACAGATATGCCTAGGTGCTTTCCTCCAGGAGAGGCGGCAGTTGGACTAGGCTCAAACATTCCCCTGGGGAACAGAGGTCCTTTCCCAGTGGGAGTCTGCTTGCCACTATTAATCACTCATGGGAACTTTATCTTCACAGTTCATAGGTGGCAGATGGCTGCCAGGGACTGACCCAAAACCCAGCCTTTCCCTTCTTCTCCTCCCTGCTTTCTATGGAGGGTCAGTAGAGTCTGCGGTCCTGGATCGTGGGTAGTGGCACACTGAGTGTCAA